ACCGTTTAATTAAACTGTTTAAATGCCCCAAAAACTACTCCCAATTTTCCCTGAGTACTGTATAAGCAAAATTGTTTTTTGAAAATACATTTATAAAAATAATTTTTCTATTTTTCACTTTTTAAATAATAAAGGCCTTTGTTTTACAGAATGACCCATGCCAAACAACCGAGCATCAACTGATGCCAATTTAAGATTTTTCTTGACAGATTTCTCACTAATTTCCACCCAAACTAATTATGTGGTAAATCAGAATTCAGTTGAGGACCGGATCAACCTGTTATTCAGCAAAACCTTCCAAGGAGCATCTCGACAGGCCAACAAACAAGCGTGATCTCGCTGTTACTCATCCTGCAGCTGAGACGTGGATGTCAAGTGTTAGAAGAGAAAGTGAGAGAGAGGTTGGGATTAGAGATGCACCGATCGATCGGCCAGATATATATGAATCGAACAGTTTTTGTATTTGACAACTACAATTTGGCTGACCAATACAAAACCACACTACAAAGATTTTATGTTAAAAAAGTGTCTAAACACAGCATTGATAGAGGCTAGAAACAGAGAACAGATGCACCAGCAGACATACTGTACTGGCAGCTCATGTTGTGAGATTTGTGAGCTTAGTTAAATTAAACAAAAAAAATATATATATATTAAATTTTGCTCTTCTACAATTCAGTGATGCTTTTGAAATTAAGAGATTTTAAGTTTGGGCAGCTTTTATTATAACTAATGTGTATGGGATAACTTATGTAAGCTAACAGGGTTTTCTACAGGTTTCATCAAGTCTTTTTAAGACCATTATGAATGAAATTTTTTAAGAAACCCGTAAATTTTTTAAGCCGTGTCAAAATCTTCTCCACCAATCAAAATGGCACTTTTGTTCACGTGCACGAAGCTGCTGAAGTTACAGTAAACAGCACTTGGAGGCACTCAAGCGCAAAACTTAATGCGAGCGCACGTTGAAGAAGATCATAGATATATACACTAGATGTCGCCTGGCCTATTGTTGTCTATTGGACGGAATGCGTCAATAGCGCCGCCATCTTGCTACAGGGTAGCGCTCCTTTGAAATGAATGCGGGACCAAGCTACAGAGGACTGTGGCCATCCAAAGCCAGAGATATACACATATATCTATGATCGGGAGTTTTCCTGGATGTTAGTATGTAATTTTTTTTTTCTAATTACGAAAATTATAATTTTACATCACTTTTCTACATTGATGGATCAGTGACCGCACAGGCATTCCTGACAAAAAGCTTGTGTTTGTGTGTACAGAAATGTACTATTCACCCTCCCTGTTAAATTTGATATAATCCTTGTCCTGAAACACACCTCCTCTCCTGCTTTCACTTCTCATACTGACGGAGAGATTCGTTTGTGAATAAATTCCCCGAACGATTCTTTCACTAATGTTAGCCGACAATAATACAAGTTTCTGGCAGCGCGGCATCTCGTTGTCATATTTCTTTTGCATTGTTTGCTGATTTTATTCAACAAAACTAGCATAAGCCGAGTGTTTAGTGCGAGTTGGAGCTGCTTTGCCGTATGGTGAATGCAGTAAGTGACTGTTATCATCAATAACGTGACCTGATTAGCACAAAAGTTCAGAACATTCAAAAACAGAAAAAAACTTAATATTACCTATGAAATGTTCTGCCTGTGTGCTTTGTTTCCTTTGTTTGCTCGTTACTACACCCGTAGACATCGCTAAAGTCCCGCATCTTCACGTAAAAACACTGTCTTGACTAGTGCGGTTGAATGACAGTTGTCCTGGGAGCACTGTACCAATGTGGCGGCGCTATTGACGCATGCTCAGGGTCCCTATGCGATATCTAGTGTATATATCTATGGAAGAAGATGCCCAGAGGTGATTTGAACATGGAGTTGCTTATTGCACTGCTGAACAATAATCATTTCTTCATCGCTAGAGCTGGGGCAGCTACTTGAACTATCCATGCTTGTTCGAATTGCCAGTAACTTTAACAAACGTGTCAACTTTCTGTCTTCTTCTGTGTTACAAGCGGATGTCAGAAGCTTAAAGTTGTGTAGCGCCATCTAACGTCAAGGAGTGATTTTGCATGCTCTTCTGCTTGACGCCAGTGAAAAATTGATTGGGTTTAAATCCGAAAAAACGTCTAGAAAAACGCTGACAATAAATGCAAACGAAAAGCGTCCCAGTGTGAACGAGCCTTTACAATATCTATAATAAATATTTTTTTTAATTATGCGGACTGCTTTGCGGATTTTGTGGTTATTGCAGGTTATTTTAAGAGCGTGACTCCTTCAAATCCCAATGGACCACTGTACATGTTTGTTTCCAGGAAATTACAGAGAAAAATACTTTTATTCTAAATAGTGCCACTTACTGAAAGATTGTGAAACTGCATTTTTAGCTAAATTTCACAAAGCTATAGTCAAATCATTATGCTTAAGTCTATTTCCTTTTTTTATTAAATATGTGTCAAATTAACCAGAAAATCAGTATAATAATTGTCCAATTATTTGTAAAAAGTCATTTTAAAAATACATCTAAAACCAATGACCTTTTCATTAAAGCTACAAATGGGCAAACCTCTGCAACACTGGGATAAATGGATTGTGCTTATGCCTTTGCACTGTGTAAACTGATCTTTATATGTATTTCTTAATGTGAACTGTAAGGAAATATGTGACCAGTCAACCGTTTATTTAAGTTCTGATGTTATTGTATTTATAATTATTATTATTATTTATTATTATATTATTTAAAAAAAAAATCCTAAAATATAAATAAGTAAAAATAAAGTATTTTTTAAAGTAAAAAAAACAAAGAATAATAATAATTGAATCCGAAACCACAATTGTAAGTTGGCCGAGAAAATTCAAGATCGGTGCATCGCTATTTAGGAGAAAGATCGGCTGAAAGCAGAGGAAGTAACCAGAGCATGCACACAAGAAACCCTCAGACGGCACCACAGGAGCAGCGAGCATCAACACATGCACACAATCTGGTGCAGAACCGACCAATAGGGTTACTGAGAGGAGTCAGTGAGGAAGAGGAGAGAGAATGGACTTCTGCATAACCGTCAATGAGCATTCCATGCAAAAAATACCATCATCATCATCATCATCATCAAAGCCATAGTCAGCTACAGAACCTGGTGACCTAGAGGGTAACCGTAACACTTAACCAAGAGTGAACAGCAGTGGTCTCAGCGAGCCCTGCAGACTAGTGGTTAAAGATCTGGGCTGGTGAATGCAAACATTTTTAAGTTTTTCAGAAGCTGTTTTGTTTACATTTAGTATTGTGCACAAAAGGACATGAACGGAATGTTATTATGATGTATAATGTTTTTATAGCTGGCCTAGTTTTATTTTTAGGCCTCCTTTTAAGTGTGTTTTCTGTTGAAATTGCTCTTTGGTGAGATGGTACTGATGATGCAATTTTGAAAGACAGTACTGATGCGCAAAATGATAAATGAAAAGCGTGCACCTATATTAACTATAAAAGGCAAAATGAAGCACAACGTGATCGGCCCTAATTTATGTTTAATAAAAGAATCATTTGCCTTGTTAGAAATAGTAGGGCGTTTACGTGGATTCTTAATAAAACACTTTACAATTGGATGAAGTTACAAGCGGCATATGGGGTTCAGTTTATTTATAGATATCCAAAACAGGTCACTAGACCACAATTATATTTCTTCAGCGATTAAAAAAATTATTACATAAATAAATGCATAAATTAACTATAATAAACTATGCATATATATATATATATATATATATATATATATATATATATATATATATATATATATATATATATATATATATATATATATATATAAATGCATGAATGAAATAAATAAATGTATAAATGCATATAGAAAGTCCAAAAATAAATTAATGCATATAAAATAATAAATGTATAAGCATATACATAAACAAATAAATAAATGCATATATATATATATATATATATATATATATATATATATATATATATATATATATATATATATATATATATATCAAATGCATGAATAAATAAATGCATTAGCAAATAATTAATGCATAAAGAAATAAATCTATAAATAAAAAAATAAAAACATGAATAAATAATATATGCATGAATAAATAAATAAATGCATAAATAAATATATGAATGAATAAATAAATACCTAAACAATTAAAAGCATAATTAAATGCATAAACAAATAAATGCTTAAACAAAAATTGTTTTAAATACATGCATAAATAAATAAATGCATGAATAAATAAATGCATAAACACATAAACACATAATTAAATTAAAGCATAATACATAAACTAAAATAATTAAATACATGCATAAATAAATGAATGTATGAATAAATAAATAAATGCATGAATAAATACATACACAAAAATAATTAAATACAAGCAAAAATAAGTCAATGCATGGATAAATAAATAAATGCATGAATAAATAAAATGCATAAAAAATAAATGAATAAATAAATAAATGCATAAATAAATACATAAACAAAATATAATTAAATACAAGAATAATTAAATAAATGCATAAATAAAAGCAACAACAAATCCATTAATAATTGCAGAAAATTGGAAAACTTTGGGGGAAAAATTTGGAAGAATGAAAAGAAATGAAACTAGCAATTGGTGGTCTGGTAGATCAGTGTTATCAAACAAAAATATTATGCTCCAATTTATAAAGCAGTGCTGCAAAAAAACAAAATCCTGTAGCAATCAGAAACGCAAATTATTACAGCAGCTAACATAAACTAACAAAAGATGAATGATGATGACAGCAGCGCCACTAATGGAAAAACCTAACAGGTCTTCCAGCCTCCGACAAATTAGTAATTTTTAGCTCTATTGTTTAAAGTGTGTAGTGGAGGGAACACAGAGCTTTGAGCACCAGCTGCACACCTGACACCACCACTGCTCACTCTTGGTTGTCTCTTTCCCATCTTGCCTGCATGTTCTGTTATGGGACAACAGGGAACTCACCAGTACATAGTAGTAAGCATACAATGCTGCCAGGTGGTGGATTACAAAAAACTTGTCTCCTATTGCTCTCCAATAGTAAAATATAAGCAGCAGATCTGAAAAAAACACACAGAAAAAAAGAAGAGAAGTGTAAGAACTTTACTTTAAGCTACTTTTATGCAAAAAAAAACTCCCATAAAAAACTTTACTCCCATAAAGGTGATTCAATACTTTCAAAAAGTCACATGACAACATGACCAATCTATCAATACACCCAAGTCATTTATTAACAATTAAGTTAATTATTTATTATTGGAATACCATCATCCTCACAGTGCATGTTACTGAACTGGAAAGACATAACTTTCAATAAACCACTGGCTCAAATTATTACTAGTTTATCAATTAACATAATATTAAATAATAAAAAAAAACATACACAAAAATAGGGGGGTTGACAAATAATAATAATAATAATAATAATAATAATAATAATATTTTTTATCATTTGAATTTTTTTTATTTTATTTGCAAATAGGTCATAAAATATCAAATACAGAGCATTTATGTATTAACAAAACCTTAAAAGGAAAATAATAATGTTATATACATTTATATGCACAGTAAACATTAAAATAGTAATAAATAAATAAATAAATAAATAAAACTGTACACAAAAAAAGGGGTGTTACAAAAACTATTATTGTTATAATAATAATTATTATTATTATCATTATTATTATCATCATGTTTATTGTTATTATTATTATTTTATTATAAATTTTACTTTTTATAAGTCTTGGGAGTGATGCTATATTACACTTTGCATGTTTGTCTTTGGTTTTGATGCATTTCTATTATTTTTTTACAGTCTTCTTTGTCTACTTTAACATTATAGCAAAAAACGTATTATTACAACAAGCTGTCCCCAATCAAATTTTGCATTTCAAACATTTACAATTAAATGCCACATCAGCAACGATAGCAATATTCGCAGCAAAAACAGCTCAATTTCATTATTCAAACAGTATCATTTCAAAAAAATATTTTGAATAACTGACCAGTCTTCATAAAAATAGTCAACATACAGAAATATACATACATACAGGACTCAGCATATATATGTACACCCCTCACCCCTCATCTTTTAAATTCATATTTTAAATAAAAGCTATACAATATTATATTTGTGCATTTACATTCGAAAATCTGGAGCTAATCTAACAAAATAACTTACAATAATCATCCAAAAACTACTACACCCAAACTTACATGTTATAGAAATACATTAAATACCAATTTATAGATTATTATAAATTAAAAACTTTGTTGAAATTTTGTAGGTTGTAATTTTTTTTGTGCAATATTTAGCATGAATTTAAGTGTATTATCTTTCAATTTTTAAATATGTTTGGTGACTAAAATATTATTTTAATAAATATATCAGTTTTGTTTAAATGCACCAAAATACATTGTCTATATGCACTGGGAAATGGATGCAAATATTTATTTTCAAAATGGGGTGTACTCAATTATGCTGAGCACTGTATATACCTTACATACATACATACATACATACATACATACATACATACATACATACATACATACATACATACATACATACATACATACATACATACATACATACATACATACATACATACATATTAGGGGTGTCAAAATTAATTGTTTCTTCGGTGCACCGCAATGCAGACGCGGACAATTCGATATCAGTTCAGTAGTAATCATAACCAGTTATTATGTACTAACGTCATTTATGTACTGACGTCATTTATCTCATATGCGCTACTTAACTACTTAAAAAAGCAGAAATTGTGCACAATTTCACTTCGTGTGTGTTTGCTGGATAGTCTTTCACTGACACTTACAGCAGAAGCCCCTATCTCACTGCGATTAAGATATTAAAAGTAAACTCCATTTCTTTCTCTATTTCTCTCTCTCTCTCTCTTTCTCTCTCATTGTGGCCAATTTGACCTGCTGGCGTGACGTTTTTTTCTACTCTCTGCTTTTACAGCGATACTTCTGTATACAGACAAGAGCGCGTGTCTGCAGAGTGAGTTTTCTCCAGCACGTCTATCATGGATCAGCTGTGATCACCGCTGCAGTTTATCAGTGTCACTCAGGTGAACAGCACCAGAGCATTAGTGCCAATCTCAGCCCTTTCTGTTGAGCGTGTAACATATCATAGGGGTGTAAAAAAAGAACTCGCTAGACAAGGCTCAGAAAGCGAGCGGGATATTTACATTTATTTATTTGCTATAAATGCTCATGTTGTTTAAAGGTACAGTTCAGATATCTGACTTTTTATTAAAATTGAATTACAAATAGTACATAAATCTGAATATATTTATACATTTTAATACAAGAATTGCTTTGCTGTGAAGAAAATATAAAACTGTGTATAGTAAGCATCGTCAGTGCACCGTGATACACCAAGATATCGAATTGAACTGAAATAATGGCATGATAATTGTAACCGAACCAAACCGTGGGACCAGTGTAAACTCACACCTCTAATACCTTACATCCATACATACATAACAATAATAAAATAATTATTTAAAATCTTTTGAAATGTATAATAAAAACAATGTTTCAGAAGAGAAAAGGCTGAAAAACATTCAAGCTCAACTTACACACTTCAAAAGGGAGAATTATACTGTATATTAAAGGGGTGGTCCAGAATGTAATTTTAAGGCTTGGTTAATAAGATGCAAAGCAATGTGTGCTCATGTTTTACTTTAAGGAAATCATGTTATTTTTTCATATATCTCACTTTGATTATAGGACTGACATATTTCCTAGTTTGTCTGAAAAGCCCGCCCTCAAGTGACTCTGATTGGTCATCATCATAATGTGCTGCAATTCGCGGATCGGCTCCACCTCACACCCTTACAAGCACACGCGTTTTGTGTAAGCAGTCAGTCAACAAGTGTCTGCAACGAGTAAAAATGGGATGCAGCTCCTTTAAGAGAGTGTTTGTGTGCCGTTGTGTGTGTGTGTGTGTGTGTTTATACTATGAATTACCTGTAGCACGAGAAGCGCATGTGCGTGGGACCGATGTTTATTTTTAATTTTCTCTCATGCTCTGATTAAGTTAGTTTCTGTGGTGACGCTGGTGACGGAATAAAGCACAATATGTGGGATGAGACCTGTGTGAGCCTTGACTGGTTTTTTTTTTGCTGCTACACTCCAGATAGAAGAGCATTGCTGTATTTTTTAACTCAATGCGTTACACAACGTCTTTCACACATATCCGGAATATGCCTGTGTAAGTAACATGAATCGTTCATATATCTTTTGCGACTTCATTGTCTGAGATGTAAAACGCATGGAAAAGCTGTGCGTGTATGTGTGTGTGTTTACAGCAGTTTGACTGATAAATATGGATTTGTAGCTAAATCATTAGCGGTGGCGAACATTTCCCACGTCTTACATTCATAGATGTTGTTTATGTTCACAGCTACATTACACATCAACTAAAGTTTAAAACATGATATCGTAGTGGACAACCCCTTTAAAGCCTTTAACAATTAAAATCCTAACTTTGAAAGAAATCTTGAAGTTGACATGAGTCAAGATGTATAAACATTGGATTAATTAAACAAAATAAAGCATTGCATTAACTTTTAAGCTCTCACCAGATATGAGGTAGCCTGTAGTAATGCTCACGTTTATCTTCACCAGAGTAGGATCTCCCCTGTTGTGGTAAAGATGACAGTGCATTGAGATTTACAGCAACATCACCGTACAAACACACACAGAAAGCATCCTGCTTATCAGTAAAGAGCAGCGCTTTCCCAGCATGCCTTGCATGCAGTCGGTCTTGCCGGGCAAAACGCTCACCATACGGGGTCCTGATTGACGGCCTCATCGAAGAACAAGATGTAGAGGCAGAAGAGGCCGACCAGCAGAGCGTGGAGCGTGGACACAGTCCTGCAGAGACACACATGGGAGAAAACACTGATCACCGTTTACCGCGGTCTGCTTCTCCTGTAGAACAATGATGTCAAGGTAAAAACGATGCTAACTGCTGGGATCTCCTCCAGCTGGCTGTTCTTCTGACAGCTCGCTGAAATGAGCACATTATCGCTGACATCTTCGCCTGCTGCCAGTTTCTTTCAGCAAACACAGACATCAGGGATTCTGAGAGACGGCTTACAACCTGCTCTCCGCATTCTAACCTCCTGAGCAGACATTAAACGGGGATCTGTTTCAGTGTAGTGACTGACTGTTAAGAATAATCTGATGCTATTGGAATTGTAATATGTATGTATAATCGTTGGGCAGCACGGTGGCCCAGTGGTTAGCACTGTCGCTTGGGTTGGGCCAGTTGGCATTTCTGTGTGGAGTGTGCATGTTTTCCCGTAGTGGGGTGGGTTTCCTCTGGGTGCTCTGGTTTCCCCCACAAGTCCAAAGACATGTGGTATAGGCGAACTGAATAAACTAAATTGGCTGTAGTGTATGAGTGTCTGTGTGTATGGGTGTTTTCCAGGACTGGGTTGCAGCTGGAAGGGCATCCGCTGCGTAAAACATATGCCAGAATAGTAGGCAGTTCATTCCACTGTGGCAACCCCTGATAAATTATTCCATTCAATTCATGTTTATTCATATAGCGCTTTTCACAATATAGATTGTGTCAAAGCAGATTAACATAGTTCTAGTAAAGTCCAGATTTCAGAGTTTAAGTTCAGTTTAGACCAGTTCAGTCTGATTTAAATTTCACTGCTGAAAGTTAAACACTGTAGAGCAACTTCACCAAAGCACAGCTCCACAAGTTTCAATCCAAGCAAACCAGTGGTGACAGTGGCAAGGAAAATAAAACTTCACCAATTGATGAAGTGGAGGAAAAAAATAAGACACTAAGCTGAAGAAAAATGAATGAATGAATGTATAATAGAAAAGTGTACTTAATTCTAATTCTTTAAAGCAATAGTTCACCTAAAATGTTATATTCTGCCATCATTTACTCATTTTAGCTTCAAACCTTTAGTTTGAAGTTTCCTTCTTCTGTTGAACACAAAACATATTTTGAAGAATGCTGAAAACCTGTGACCACTGACTTGCTTAGTAGTTGTTTTTCATACTAAGAAAGTCAATGGCTACAGGTTTCCAGCTTTCTTTAGAATTTTTGGTGAGCCATCCCTTTAAGAAACATCCAACAGATACACAAAACAAAAGATGCTTAAATAGAAAAAAAATGTCTGTTATTATTTACACACTCGTTACTTATTCCAAACCTTTCTGACTTTCTTTCTTCTGTTAAACACAAAAAGATATTTTGAAGAAAGCCGGAAACCATTGGCTTTTATAGTATTTGTTTTTCCTACTACATTGTAAAACTCAATAAATTAAGTTTATTCAAAGTTTGAGGAAACCCACTGTGATCATTTTGTTTAATATATATATATATATATATATATATATATATATATATATATATATATATATATATATATATTATATTTACACATCATATATTTAAACATCATATAGTCATATACACATAGTAAATCGCTACGAGTTCAGTTAACTTGAATTAAGTGCCTACAACTATATAGCTAGGGCTGTACGATTAATTGAATAAAGATTGTGATCTTGTTTCGAGCCCCTACACAATCTTAATCGAGCATCTCTACAATTCAGCCAATTAAATTTTTAGGTTCAGAAGTGATGCATAAAGGCGAATGCACAAGCCTTCACATTGTTTTATTAACGTTGCTCAGCAATGTGGACACCTCCAAATGCTGTTGAAAGAGTCACATACTTTTATAAGGTATAATTCACCTTCAAATGTCATTTTTGTCTTTATGTAGTGACATATTTGTATCATGATCTTTAATTTAAGCAAAAAAAAAAAAAATGTGATTATTATTTTATTCTCGTTGTCATTCTTATTTGATTTGATTTGAGTTCTGCTTAATATAATCAGTTTGAGTAACCATAACTCTATTTAATTGAGTCAAAGTAACTTTTTTACATATTTAAAGTTAAACTAACTCATTTCATTTAAGTGATTTTAACTGTTTACAGGTTTTACAGTGAAAGGAAGTCAATGGCTGCAGGTTTCCTGCTTTCTTCGGAATTTTGGGTGAACTATCCCTTTAAGAAACATCCAACAGATATCTCAGAACGTAGAAGACAATGCATGCTAAAAAACCTAAATGAATGACTCTCTCAAAAATTACATTTCTGTCATTATTTACACACTCTTTACTTATTCCAATCATTTTTGACTTTCTTTCTTACGCTGAACACAAAATAAAATATTTTAAAGAAAGCCAGAAACTATTAACTTGCATAGTATTTGCTTTTCCTACTTAGGAAGTCAATGGTTACAGGTTTCCAGCTTGCTTCAGAATTTTGGGTGAACGATCTCTTTAAGAAACTTCCAACCAATATCTCAGAATGCAGACAATGCATACAAAAAAAACTAAAAGACAGCTGTTTGTGTACCTTGAGTTCCACTCGATCTTCTGTTTGTGGGTGAGTTTGAGGAAGCCAGGGCTGATTCTGGACGACGCCCAGGGGCTCACGCTGTGAAAGAGCCACTGGAAAAAGAAAAAACTCACCACCGAGATGAGCAGGATCAGCTGGCTGAAGGGGTCCATGGCCACCCGACCCCACTGCAGGAGAAAGAGAGACGTGAACACGCTTTACACAAAAACACCAGCGTCAGGCTCAGCTCAAACAATGCAAAACTCACAGCTCCGGGAGAAAAGTAAAGTAAATGTTTAACAGACATGCCCTCTGCCATTACTGCGCTAATGTAAAGCACACGTCTCTTTTCTGTCGCTCCGAAAACCAATACATGTCACAGTATATCTCGGACACTTTATTTAAAGTATCACTGTTCATATTCAAGGTGCCAGGAGTGACGCAAGAGTTTGTTTACTATTCCAAAAGGCCGTCCAAAACGCTACATAATCTGGTTGCACAACTGTTTTTGAATTAAATATAGAGCTTCTATTGTCATAACTCGCACTGTACATGAACTGTTTCATGCTAGTATATCACATACACCAGCCGTCTCCTAAAATTGCATTCATCTGCAGTTAGAAAAGCAACAGGGTTTCCACTTCCTTTACAGTCTGGCTCATTGTGCACCGGAAAAACAAGTCTGTCCCCTTTTGAAGCACATAGTTAGGAAGCAGCGATCCATAATGATAAAACCTTTGGCCAAATTAAATCGCAACGTTCCAACTGGGTCTAGAGAGGGTGAATCAGCACAAAGAGCACAAGATTGGTGATTGTGATGCTTTGCGCTTAACTTACTTCCTGGATTTCCATATATGGTTGGTAGAGAAAACACACTGGGTTAATGTTCAATCAGTAACTGGGCTAAATAAAGTACTTAAAGGCTGTGCTCAATCGGCATTAGCATTAGGGACTTGTGTAAGATTTTACTTTTAAGCTTAAAAAAAAATGTTTAGCAAATGGATTAATAATAATTCCCTACAATTGTATAGTGCTTTTCTGGACCTTCAAAGCGCTTTTCACCATTTCTTTGGGGGGGATCTCCTCATCCACAACCAGTGTGCAGCATCCACTTGGATGACGCAACGGCAGCCATATTGCACCAGACCGCACACCAGCTGAGTGGTGGAGAGGAGAAGAGTGATGATGAAGCCAATTATGATATGGGGATGGTTAGGCAATTATTAAATAAATGGTTAGGCGATGGGGATGGTTAGGCGATTATTAAATAAAGTACATAAAGGCTGTGCTAAATCGGCATTAGAGTTAGGGACTAACTTTGCGCCAGACCGCACACCAGCTGACTGGTGAAGAGGAGAAGAGTGATGATGAAGCCAATAATGATATGGGGAAGGTTAGGAGGCCATGATGGACAGAGGCTAGTGGACACATTTGGCCAGGATGCCAAGTTACACCCATTTTCTTTTTTTTTTAAGAAACTACTGTTATTTTTAATGAACACAGAGAGTCAGGATTTCGCTTTAACGTCTCATCCGAAAGACGGGATTAGTCAAAGATGTGGATTATAAGTAGGAATGGGTTGGAATAAGATTGTGACGGTATGATAACCTTGGATAAAAATATCACGGTTTCACGGTATTGTGATTACTGCTCTAAAATATTTTCTTTTTAAAAGTTTGGGTAAAAACAGGGTTTCTGCATGTTTCATCACGTCCAATTTATGACTTTTTAAGACCTTTTTTAGACCATTATCAATGAAATTTCAGACTTTCGCAGGGGAAAACGCTAATAATTTTCTGTATTAACCAGTGGAAATGTTCTAGGACATGTTCTAAATGTGTCAAAACAAGCTAACTATTGCTACAAATATTTTCAGAATTCTAAAGCAAGGTTAATATTTATTTTGAGAATAACTACACCTTCAACTTCTAAATTATTTTAAAATGAATATAGAAAAAAAAATGTAATTTTTTAGGTGTCATTTATTCAATTTGAAACATTTGTTCTTACCTTTTCCCAGACTCCCCCAAACCCCCATCCTCATAAATCGCACCCTGCAATTAGTCTATAACTATAAATCAAGCAGAGGCGAGTAAATCTTAGTTTGAGTTTTCAGTGATCGTCTACTCTTTGTTGATCACCCCTGACCTACTTTCTGAATCTGAATTCTGCTGAATCTGAATTTCACAATATGAATTTCTGGTTTTGAATTTTAGGATATTGAATTTGATGTTCTGAATTTCTTCATCTTGAAAACTTGTAAATTGTATTTTTACAAAATGGATATCTGCAGTTTATGCATTCAGAACATAAAAAACTGATGTTTGAAAATATGTCTATAAAAAAAATTCAGCCTTTTAAAACCTGTTGTCTTAAATTTCAGATGTTCAATCCAGAAAAAAACAAACAAAAAGCACTCTGGGGTAAGTTCAAATGTATGGTCGGAGCTCTTTGGGTAAGGGATTCATCAAATCTGCAACAAGAATCAGTCCAAGGCACTCGAGTAAAGTGAAAAAATTAAAAAGCCATTTTTAATTATAAAAGGCTTTTTAATTTTTTCACTTTACTCGAGTGCCTTGGACTGATACTTGTTTCAGATGTTCAATATTCAAGTTAAAAAAATTTAATTAAGAATTTCAAATAAAATACATTTTTAACGACATTTAAAAAATTCTGATTTATTCGATTACAATTATCAATAATTCGATTTAACACAATTTAAATTCAGATTGTTTTGGCATATTTTTAGCTCCATAGTTGTGTGAGTGCAAAGCGTGCCTGAGCCTGAAACTGAAGATGCGACGTCACTCTTGAGGGACTGTTTCATTTGCATTTATTAATCATTCTTACTTTTCAATGAATGAAATTTGTCGTTGATTATTAAAGACGCAAACCTCTTGCTGCACATCAGCTACACCTTTAGCAAACCTCCTAAAACGTGCAACACGAGGACTTTTATGATAATTTATAAGAGTCAAAAGTGGTGGATCTGTTTTGCTAAATATTTGGAATTGTGAGTGTCACTGCATATCCAGGATTCCTCAATGTAATTTTAATACTGTTTTTAAGACTTTTTAAAGACCTTCTTAGAATATTTTAAGACCTCATCACCACTTCAAGTTCTAATCAGTATCAAACCTTTACTTGATAAACAGTTGTTAATAAACAGTTGTAGTTACATAAATCAATGGAGCAAAACTGTGCAACAGAACTCAAATAAGCTCAGAAGAAACAAAGCTTGAAAGAATAAGTTACGTGGTTGTAATCAGCAACAGGTTTCCGCCATTGTTTAAACTTGTCTTTCTCCAACCAGGAGTGCGCAATCTTACATTTTCACATTTAATGTCTGTTTTGCTCTATGGTTTTGCACATGTGGAGAGCGTCACATCACCTTCTTGCTTTTGTCGCAAATTACGTGACATCACCCGGATTGGGGAGTTTAGCCGGACATGCCCCGGCCTGAACCGATCGTGTTGATTGAGCACGCCGTTGTTAATATTAAGTGAAAAAAATAATATATATATGCTTTTATAGAGTCAAACACTTTGGATAACGCTAAAACTAAATTAAGACCTCATAAAAATGCGATTCGGTTTTTTAAATAACTTTTAAGGGCCTTAATTTTCTCATTGTTGATTTAATCAACTTTTAATACTTTTATAACCCCGCAGACACCCTGCTATCAAATGACTAAAAATTATACAAAACGATATAACTAAAGCAATGTCCACTGTACTGAGCAAGAGTGCTTCTCTTTCTGTCAAACTGGACAGTCACATCATCGATGACGTGCTGCGGTTCAGAAGGCAAAATGCAGTGCTAGTGCAGGCCGTCGGTGGTGAAGCGGACTTTAGCACGGTTTAAGGTTAGTACCTAGTGCGAGCACGCTTTAAATGTTTGAATCTTGATTTTTAGTCCGAGAATGAATTAGATCTGAAAAATTCACCCCATTTTGAAAATGAATATTTTTATCCATTTCTAATAAAAATAGCTAATGTATTTTGGTGCATTTAAACAAAACAGAATTATTCAACAGATATATTTATTAAAATAATATTTTAATCAACAAGCATATTTAGAAATGGAAAGATAATACAATTAAATTCAAGTTAAATATTGCAAAAAAAAAATAAACCTACAAAATTTCAACTTAATTTTTTTGCTTCACTTGATTTTCCTCTTTTTAAAATTTGTAATTAATATTTTTATATAACATATAAATTTGGGTGTACAAGTTTTGGACTGTTATCGTAAGTAATTTTATTAAATAAGCTTCAGATTTGGCTTCAGTACTCACTAATGAAATGTATAAGCACAAATATAATATTGTAAAGCTTCCTATTAAAATGTGAATTTTAAAGAGAGATTTGTGAGGGATGTACTATATATGCTGAGCATTGTATATTTTACCAGTTTATTTTAATATCATTAAATAAATTATTTAAAAACATAGCTAATAAAAATAGCATTTTAGCAAATAGTTGTCGCTATAAGTCAGAATTATAAGCCCTCCATTGAATTTTTTTTTTTCTTTTTTAAATATTTTTTAAATGATGTTTAACAGAGCAAGGAAATTTTGTAATTTAGTATGTCTGATAATATTTTTTCTTCTGGAGAAAGTCTTATTTGTTTTATTTCGGCTAGAATAAAAGCAGTTTTTATTTTTTTTTAAATCATTTTAAGGTTAAAATTATTAGCCCCTTAAAGCAATATTTTTTTCGATAGTCTACAGAAAAAAACATCGTTATACCATAATTTGCCTAATTACCCTAACCTGCCTAATTAACCTAATTAACATAGTTAAGCCTTTAAATGTCTCTTTAAGCTGTATAGAAGTGTCTTGAAAATAAATCAGTTAATAAAAATGAGTTATTAAAAATATTATGTTTAGAAATATGTTAAAAAAAATCTCTCCGTTGAAAATAAATTGGGGAAAAAATTAAACAGGTGGGCTAATAATTCAGGGTGTTTAACAATTCTGACTTCAACTGTGCATAGAAATATGTTAAATACAAGTGTCTGTGTTAATGTTTCAAATATCGGTAAAAATATGTCAAAATATGAAATAAAACAAATGGCAAAATATTTGTAGAAGCAGCATCATTTTACCAGGCATCTTCCAGTGGGCATCAAAGTGCTCTTAACATTTCCCTCTGATCTAATTTCATGACCTCTGGCACATAACGGCTAATGGAAAACATGAATCGGACTCTTACCTAAGGCTACAAGTTTTCAAAGGATGGCAGAAAAAATACAAAACATGAACCCTGTGACCTGAGTGTTGAAAAGAGACTGACACAGATTTCAAAAGCGTGAAATTGAAGTTCTGTGGCTTTCAGACCACATTTACAAGCTTTGAGGTCATCTATATTGAAGAGAGTTGGGTTACCGAAACACACTTACAGCAAAGAGAGAGATAAACAAATAGGCAGACAGATAGATGTACTTCAGTGTGCATGCACAAAGTCTTTACTACAGCATTTAACATGTCAGAACCTTCAACGGCAATCAAACGGTCAGGCCAGGAGATCTGCATTTCGTTTTGAGAAGCAAATTTCACTCTAGGAGTTAGTAATTTAATGCGATCAAATATGCTATAAATAACGCCTGTAAAACATTATTTATAAAATCAACAGTACCACTAGGCATGGGCCGGTTTAAGATTCTGATGGTATGATGACCTTGCATAAAAATATTACGGTTTTACGGTAATGTGATTACTGCTCTAAAATATATTC